GTAATAACAGTATTTCCTCATAAGCTTATTGTGAAGGTTTAAATAATACAACATGTTCCATGTCAAGAGCAGCACCTGGCACATAGTATATACATGAAAAATTAACTATTATTATTATTATCAACTTTATGAACAAAGTTAACTTTGGGCCTGGTTTTTGGGTTGTGGTTTTTTTTTTGGGGGGGGGTTGTTTTGTTTTTGTTTTTGTTTTGAGAGAGAATAAGAGAGCAGGGGGTGGGCAGAGGGAGAGAGAGAGAATCTTAAGCAGGCTAATGCCCAGCACGGAACCTGACTTGTGTCTTGGTCTCACCATCCCAGGATCATGACCTGAGCTGAAATCAAGAGTCAGACGCTTAAACGACTGAGCCACCCAAGCACCTGGGCCTGCTTTTTCCATTGCAGATTTGAGGGAAGGAATTACTGACTAGAAGAGTGCTTCTGGAACTTAGCACCAGATTACTTTGAGAATCTGATGGTTATCTGAGGAAAAACACAGACAGTCCATGTACATATGCACACATATTGCCTGCGTGCTGATGGGCCTCTGAGGCAAAGGGGGTGGTGGTGCAGGTCAAGGACCTCGGAAAGCAAAGATTGCTGGTGGCCCTTCCTGGAGTCTGTGGGTCTCTGGGGTGGGAATAGCTAGGCAGCCAAAGGTGCATTACTGCTTAAGGCTGGGGTATATGCTTGCTTTGGCGCTTTAAGCCAGCAGCTATTTTTAGTTTTGCTATATATGGCCAGGGAGGAAGAGGGCTGGGGGGGGGGGGTACCAGGAGACTTATAGCAGGGTTTGGAAGCCAGAGCTCCTTGTCTCAATACCTTCCTCTCCACCCCAGGCCCCAGGAGAGAGCTGGAGAGTTTAATGAACCTCCCGCCGAAGTGACAGGCGAAGTGACAGGCGTGGAGGAGAGGGAGAGTTTGTGGAGGTGGGGGTGGCCACGGCTTTGATGAAGATGCCACGTCAAGTCACTTTAGAACAGTGATTTTCAAACTTTTTTGACCACGACCTGCAGTAAGAAATACATTTATGCACACATGTGTAAGAAATACACGGTGTATGTAAACACAGGAGTTTTGATACGCACACACATGTCACATGTACCTACATCTTCAGCTGAATGAAAGTTTCAGGAAGCAATATTTTCTTATGCTCTGTGAAACACTCTGATTTTCCTATTCTGTTCTTTCATTTTTAAAAATACAGGTCACGACCCACTGAACTGATTTTACCACCTATTAATGGGACAAGTCCTCCAGTTTAGAAAACTGCTGTTTCCTTTGGTTTAGAGGAGGCCATCACCTGGGACATTTGGCTGCAAGGTGAGGTGGGGCGTAGAGGAAATGGGACATATTGTCCCTTTGGTCAGTACTTCCTTAAACTGGGGCTAAGATGCAAGTTTCAGCTTTATCTCTTGGCTGGCAGCAATTTTAAGACCTCCTGGCTTTTGTGCACTCCATTGTCTCAACCGGAGCACGCATCCTCTACCCTTGTCACCTGGCTCGCTCCATACTTCAGAGCTGGGCTTGCCACTTTCTCCATGAAGCCTCCCTGAATGCCCAAGTCTGGTTAGTTGCCTGCCTCTTCCTTCCTCAGTCCCCAGGACTTTCCTGCCTAGCACCCAACACTCTAGAGTATGATTTCTTGTTAGAGTCTATGGAAGGTAGGGATCTTTTCCATTCTGTTTATTTCTACGCTCTTCCCGCCCAGTGCTATACTACTGGCTTCATAATAATCACTTAGTACATATTTATTGAGCAAATTAATGAAAGTTAATAGTAATGATAGTCACTATCACTTACTGAGTACCCGTTTTTCCCATGAGAAATCTTAGGAGAGATTAGCAGAAGTCCATTTTATTGGTGAGGAAACTAAGGCTCCGTGATATTAAATAATAGGATAGGCCAAGGTAATAACCCAGGGCTACCCGACTCCCAGCCGTCTCTAATCACAGGATCTTATTTGTCTACATTCTCTTCAGCACTACTCAGGATGGGGCAAAGGGCAGGTCCTTAACAAACCCTCAGGGAACTGATGACAGGTTGATTAAAGAGATTTTCCGAAGCAGTGGCCACATCTAATTTTGGAGAGTTGCATCTCATATGTGGCTTGGGAGAGATCTGTGAGGTTTCCAGGGCCCCTGGATGTGGGACTGTCTTATTCGGAAGAAGAGTCTGGGCCTCTGACAAACCAGAAGAGCAGGTCTTTCAGTTACCTGGCCTGAAGAACTCCTGCACGCACCCAGAATCAAACCTAGAGCTCTACAAAACCTATGTGATCTGGCTCACACCCACAGCTCCATTGTCAGCCCCTTCCTCTTCCCTTCATCCACTCTATTCCTGCCACCTTGGCATTCCTGCTGCTCTTCAAACATGCCATGTCCAGTTCTGCCTCAGGACCTTTGTGACTGCCATTCCCTCTGCCTGGAAATCATCACTCCCTCCTGAGTCTTCCCATCCTGCTTCGTAGACCATGCTATCCAAAACATCAACCTCAGGCAGCCCAGGTGGCTCAGTGGCTTAGTGCCACCTTCAGTCCTGGATGTGGTCCTGGAGACCCAGGATCAAGTCCCATGTCAGGCTCCCTGCATGGAATGGAGCCTGCTTCTCCCTCTGCCTGTGTCTGTGCCTCTCTCTCTCTCTATCTCTCTCTCTCTGTGTCTCTCATGAATAAATAAATAAAATTAAAAAAAAAAAAAACGAAACAAAAAAAACACCAACCTCTTCCTTCTCCATTTTTTTTATACCTTTGCTTGCTCATGGCCCTGGCTACTGGAACTTGCTGTAGGATGGTACCTGACACATAGTTGGTACTCCATAATATTGGTTGCATGAATGAATGAGTGAATGAATAGGTTTTCCCCCTTTAAGACATGTGGGAAATTAGTCCATAGTTTCCCAGAAATGTGTCTCTCTAGGACTCGCACCCAGGCCCCCAAAACACACCTCTTGATTTGGAGAGAGGAAAGAGGGAAGGAAGGAACATTTGACATACTGTGTACCAGTAGGTAGGTAGGTAACTGACACCCAACAAGCATTCGAGGATCATCTCCATGTTATAGCCAGAGAAACCAGGGCCTGCTCCCTACTCATCACCAATATCAGTGCAGTGTCCAACATAAACATCCAGTGAATGGAATTACACCGAATTAGGAAGCATGCAGCCAGAATTTGTCCTCAGCGCTGTCCAGTTGTAGCCAATGCTGTGTAGCTGCCACTGTACCCATAGAAAGCCCAGGGACACAGCCTCATTAACATCCAGACACATCTGAGGGTGGGCCCGCACCAGACACGCACCAACAGGCAGCCCAGGCAGGAGCCCGTCCTACATCGGAGGCCCCTCTGTATATGCCCAGGGGCCTCAGCTTGAGCACAATTTCCACTCTAGGCTGGCTCATGCTCCTTCCTGCTCCATCCCAAACCCACTCCCAGACTGCCCACTTCCTGCCCTCTGTCAGAAAAAGGGGAGACTAGTGACAAATAATAAACTATGAATGCCTTCTGACAGATGCTAAAATATTTTTTAAGTAGCTATCATTTTGAGTTATCTGTGTCAGCTCCTCTTTCCAATGGGGCATGTTAAGGAGACTTCACAGAATTATCCTGAGCTGGAAGGAAACTGAATGACCATTTAATGCAGGAGTCAGCCAACTTTCCTGTAAATAGCTGAATAGCAAATATTATAGGCTTTGTGGGCCAAAAGGATGTTATGTGGGGATTTTCATATAATTTCCACATGTCACAAAGTCAAGTTCTACTTTTGGTCTTTTTTCAAATGTTTCAAAATGCAAAACCACTCTCAGCTCACAAGCTGTACAAAAATAGGCAGCAGGCCAGTTTAGCAGGCTATCAATACTTTGCAAGTGCCTGATTTAAAGCAATGCTTCTTAAACTTTATGTATATAAAAATTTCCAGGGGGGGCTTGTTTAAAACAAATACCTAAGTCTACTCTTAGAGATTCTAATTGAGATTCAGGTCTAGTTGGGGCCCCTGAATTTGCATTTTTAACTGGTGGGCAGGTGGTGTTGATACTGTCTGTCTAGTGACTATATTTTGCACAGCACTAACATTCTAAAACCCATTCTGTGGATGAGGAAACTGAGGCCTGACTAAGTGATACGTGCAAAGTTGTGCCCAGTGGATGAGGTGACAATATTTTCTCTGTCACTTCCCATGGCTGTTTCACCACAGAAAATTCCTTTCCATCTCCTTAACCCACCAGGCACACTCATGCTTTTGAGCTTCTTACATTCCTCTCCGAAGCAATTTTCCCCAAAAGATCCAGCTAGATGTTACCTCTTCTAAAGCAGTCCCTGACCTCCTCAAATCTAACTTCTCTGCCACAGCTCTCTGTACCGACTCATGTATAATTGTCTACAGGCCTATCTTTGAAGCATTGGGCTGTATCTTATTCTTCTTTATATCTAACTCTTTTATAATGCCTGGTAAATAGGAGGTACCACGGAACGATAGTACATCCAAAATGATGGATGGATGGATGGATGGATGGATGGATAGGTGGGTGGATGGATGAGTGGGTGGATGGATGGGTAGGTGCATGGGTGAATTGGTAGATGAGAGGGTAGATGGATGGGTGAATGAACGAATACTTCATGATCTATTGCTTGAAAATAATTTTCATGGTCAAATTGAGATTAGACCCAAGCTCCTCTAGAGCACAAGCCAGAGTATATTCCATGGCTGGTTGTAATCCTAGCATGCAAACAGTAGAAGTTAGGTTTTACTGAATGTGTGTTGAATGTGTATTTATATAGCAGGTCTTGTCCTAAACATTGCTTAATGGCCCTGTTATGGGCCCCACCTTTACTAACAAGGAAATAGATGCTAAGAGACATAGGGCAGCTAGCCCAATGCCACACAGCAAGGAACATCCTGGCTCTTCTGATTCTGTGTCACATTGCCCCTCCCTCTTCCCACCCTCCACCAGTCTTCCTCACTCATCTGGCTCCTACTAGCTGTGCAGGGCCCGGGCTGGGCTCACCTCCATCTGCATAGGTCTCGGTGCCATAGCCGTCCTGCAGGCCATTGTTCCAGGTGCCCTCATACTTGGCACCGCTGCTGCTGCTCTGCCGGGTTCCGTAGCGTCCCTTGAAGCCGTGCGTCCACTCGCCCTTGTAGAGCCAGCGTCCCTTGGTCTCTATGCCCAGCCCATGCCGTTTGCCCTGGCTCCAGTATCCCTCGAAGGTGTTCCCACTGGGCCAGGTGTAGACGCCCGCCACTTCGAAGCCAAAGTTCCAGGAGCCGGAGTACTCACCCTGGCCCTTCGGGCCCGTGCACAGCCCATGTCCGTGGGCCTTCCCCCCTTCCCAGCCCCCGCAGTATGCCCCGCCATCATCAAAGTCAAAGCGGCCCCCACTCATCTCATCGTAGCCCCTGACAGCCTCACCGTCCTCCAGCTTGGGGGAGAGAGGGCGATGGGGGCTGCCAGCAACACTCCACGCACACTCAGGGCTGGGCGCCCCTGACTCACCACTGTGCCCCGGGAGGGAGAAAGCAAGATGCCCCCAGAGGCTGAATGAGCCCGGGAGCCAAGTCAGCACTGGGTCGGCTGGTCAGTGCCATGCCCAGGAGGCCCCCACTCAACCAGCCAGAGGAAGGCTGCCAGTTGGGAAGGAAGCAGGAGGGAAAGATTCAAAGTCTCCATACAGCGTCCCAAGTCTGGCTTCCCCGGAGTCAAAGGAAAAAACGGTGTGATCCCTTTAAGAAGCACAGTGGAAGGGGTGGGGTGGAGGGGTCCCCAGCCTGTTTAAACGAGGGGAAATTCCTCCTTGGTGACAGCCCCCAGCCTAAGGCTGAATTCCTGCAGCCGGCTGGCCCCCTTCTCCACCCAGTGGGTGTGCAGGGCTGTCGTCTCCGGGCTGCTGCCCCGCCCCTCTCAATCCTGCCCTCCTCCTGGGACAGAAAGGTCAGTGTTGCCCTAACAAGGCCATTGGATCTCAGAAGCTGCTCCCAAAATAACCGCCCAGCCAGCCCAGCCTCCTTCAAAGCGGGGAGGGGTGTTTCAAATTGGGCTGGTGCTTCAGACCCAGGGAGTAGCCGGAGGGGCGAAGGAGGGCAGCTGAGAACTAAGTGGCGGTAGCTGGGGCAATTGGGTGGCTTGTCTTCCCCTGGGTAGGAGTTCCCTTCCACGTTCAGGGTGTCCTGAGTCTGCAGGAGGAGAAGGGGCAGAGGGGCCAGGGAAGGGAGTGGGGAGGAGGACTAGCGGAACACCCAGTCCTGGAACACTCAAAATCCCCCAGAGTGTAGAGGTTGGCAAATCTCGGCCCCACCACCACTCACATGCCCTAACAGGACCTGGGGCTATACCCGCTGCCAGCCCCATAAAGGAATCCGGTGACCTAAAAAGAAAGGAACGGGCATGCTTTCACATATGCTTTTGAAAGTAGAGGAGGAACTCAGGAAGAGAAGTCAGGTTCTGGAAACAGAGTCTGGAAGATAGAGTGAACCTGAGTCCATCGCTCAAGCACAACCCCTGATCCCTCTCCACACCCCTGCGAAAACCCTGGAAAGATCCCGCAGAAGGCACTGATGGCTCCCTTGCTCTCCTCTGAGACACAGGGTTGCTGGTTATTTGGAATGAGGCTGTCTCAGCAATACTCAAGGATCATGATTTTTAAAAAATATCCCCTTTCCAAGTTTCTCTTTTTCTCTGGTGTCCTCAGAGCCTGTGAGACCAGACTTGAGAAAGCTCTTGGGGCAGGATCAGGAGTGAAGGCCCTGGGTGGGTTCCCAGCACTCAGGTTCCCACCAAACTTCAGTGAAAGGGACAAATAAATCTCTGTGACTTGAGGCTGTGGCCAGGACTAAGGATTGGAAATCCCAGCTGAGCCCAGGGTTAATAGTAGCATAGAGTAATTCTGGGAAAGGTAGGAGCTGTCAAGAACAGGAAGCTGTTGGGGCACCTGAGTGGCTCAGTCAGTTGAGTGTCTGCCTTTGGCTTGGGTCGTGATTCCGGGGGTGCTGGAATCGAGCCCCACATTGAGCCCCACATTGAGCCCCACATCGGGGTCTCTGCTCAGTGGGGAGCCTGCTTCTCCCCTCCCCCGTTGCTCCCCCTGCTTGCACTTTCTTTCTCTCTCAAATAAATGAAATCTTAAAAAAAAAAAGAACAGGAAGCTGCTGGGGCTGGGGGGGCAGAGACGGAGGGATACGTTGGAGGGGGAGGATAAGATAGAAATCACTAAAAAAGCAAGCACCGAAGGCACTTGAGGACTATTGGACTGTTATTCGACTTCAGACTTCATCTGACATACTCCAAATCCCACGATGACTCAGGCTCCTTGAAGTCACTGCAGATTTGTTCTTGTTTCAGAAATGGACAGAAAATGTTCTCTCCCTTCATCCCAGTGGACTCCCAGTTCTTACTGGTTCCTTCGTTGTCAAGGCGCCCCTCCTGGGTCCTTGCTTCACTCCCAGGCAGAAACACCCAGGCTCTGAGCTCACTGTCACTGGCTGTTTGCCGAGTGGACAGGCAGCAAGTAGCAGAGGATGAAGACTGCATCGTCTAGGTTTTGGTTCACCATCTAGCCAAGCGGACTCAACTGCTCACACAAATTCACTTCTAAGAACGCTTGGCTGCCGACCCCAGAGAGCTCTGGGTTTGCCACTTTCTCACCAAGGCCTCTGGAGAATCACATGTTTCTTTCCAGCTCTGCTCTCAAGGGGGAAGGAAAGAACATCTCTAAATGGAAGTTAAGAGGGGGTTGAATTACCCAAGGTCAATACTCTTTGTCATTAAATGCTGGGTAAATCACCATAATCCTATTCTAGGGCTGGGTGGCTGCTGTGTCTTCCTGAGCTGTTCCACCTGATCATTTTAGCCACTGTTTATCCGTGCAGCTCCCTACGGTGGTTCTTTACCAAGGGTGGGTGCTCTTAAGATTTAAATTCAACACCTGTTGAACTTAAAAACATAAACAGATTCCAGATTCCAGAGCACTCTGCCTCCAGCCAATGACTAGAGTGTTCCCTGAAACGGCTTAGACAGTTGTATTCTTTTTAAAAGCTCCTCCGATGAATCTCATTCCTGGTTAAGAACCCCCTATATGTTTTCAAATTAAGAAACCGTTTCTTGGGGGCACCTGGGTGACTCAGTGGTTGAGTGTCTGCCTTTGGCTCAGGGCGTGATCCCGGGATCCTGGGATCAAGTCCCACATTGGGATCCCTGCAGGGAGCCTGCTTCTCCCTCTGCCTATGTCTCTGCCTCTCTCTCTCTCTCTCTCTCTCTCTCTCTCTCATGAATAAATAAATAAAATCTTTAAAAAAACCAAAACTGGGATCCCTGGTTTGGCGCCTGCCTTTGGCCCAGGGCGCGATCCTGGAGACCCGGGATCGAATCCCATGTCGGGCTCCCGGTGCATGGAGCCTGCTTCTCCCTCTGCCTGTGTCTCTGCCTCTCTCTCTCTCTCTGATTATCATAAATAAATAAATAAATAAATTAAAAAAAAAAAACTATTTCATAATAACATTTACATGTTCATGAATCTATTTACCATACGCTATGTAGGATAGGTAGTTGTGGAGTTAGCTATGTGTTCACATCCAAGGTATGACCTTGGGCCAATTCTTAATTTCCGTGAGCCACAATTTCCTCAACTGAAAGTACTTACCTCAAAGGATTATTAGTATTCAGGATAACATTATCTTCCTTATATGGTTGGGTAACTTAATACTGTACAAAGGCTTAGAACACACTAAACACCTAATAAATATTAACTATTATTTTTTTTAATATTAACCATTATTAATATTATCCTCACATGATAAGTTGCTCTTCAAACTAGAATGCTTAATAAGATAGTTACCAAAGAGTTAAGTCAGAATCACCTCCCAAATGCTAAATACCTTGACACGGAAGCAGTCTTTCTCTTCACAATACATGGTTACTCAACATTGCTCTGTGGTTTTATCACTTTTTAAATGGACAGACTCTGTTATTGGTAAACGGACACTTTGATTTCTTAAAATCAAAATTTAGTTTAAGTAAATTTTTTGCCAAATTTGGTACTGGCCTTAGGCGACCAGTGCCGAGATTTTAGAGGAGCTCACTTTTTTGCCTCTCCCGTTAAACCAATTCCTGGGAAAGGGAGTCCTCTTGAGGCCATTTGGGCATTACAGCAGCTTTTCCTTAGGAAAACCCACTCCCTCAGACAGAGGGAATTTAATAAACTTGGAATTAATTCTAAATCACTTTTAAAATTAGCTAGCTATTCCATTCTTGCTCTTTCCCAGGTCTTTTCTTCGTCTGTGGTTCTGTTGTTTGATCAGAGAAGGAAGTCATTTGCTTCCTCTGTTTCTCATTGCTCAAGTGTGATCATTTCCTAGGGAGCCTGGAAGGGAGAGACCTGAAAAATCCAGAACAGAGGGGCATCTGGATGGCTCAGTGGTTGAGCATCTGCCTTTGGCTTAGGTCATGATCCCAGGGTCCTGGGATCGAGCCCTGCATGGAGCCTGTTTCTCTTTCTGCCTGCTTCTCCCCCTGCTTGTGCTCTCTCTCGGGCACGATCTCTCCCTCTCTGTGGCAAATAAATAAGTAAAATCTTTAAAAAAAAAAAAAAATCCAAAACAGAACGAGAGAGAAGGCCTGCACACAGAAACCCACTTGAGTCAACTTTTCCGCCACTGAAGACGCAGCTGAAGAAGCCTCACCTCCTTCAGACCAGTTTCCTGAGTTAGGTGCCTTCCCACATGCCAGCTCTTCCTCCGAACTATGAGTTGTTTGAAGCAAGGATAATCGTCATTTTAAAAAATACGCATCAATGCAGTCTAAGTGCCTGGCGCTCCCCACTCCCCCTTGTATGCCCAGTGTGTGCACATAGTGGGTGTTCACATTTCCTTCTCTGCACCATTTGGCAGCTTACAGCTCCCTTCTTAATTAAATGCTTTTTACCTTGACAGGACTGCTCTCTTGATTCTGCTCCTGCCTCACTGGCTGCTCCTACCTAGGCTTTGGCTGGTTGGTCTTCATTCCGGGGACCTTTCTACTGTGGGAATGTTCCAGAGCTTGATCCTCTGTCTGGGTCTTTACCTACATTCACTTCCCAGGTGGTCTCCTCCAGTCTGACCTTTAGACACCATCCATATACCGACGGCTCCTTCATTTGTGTCTCCAACCCATATCTCCCTACTGATCTTCAGTACAGGTCTACCACCAACTCAAAGTCACCACAGGGGTCTCAGAAGCACCTCAGACTTGCCAAAAGCAAAACCAGACTCCGGAATTCTCCTCCCATGTCTGCTCCTCCAGCCAATTTGCATCTTCTGAAAACCTCTGGAGTCCTTAATTGCAGTTTTTCTCCACACTCTGTATCTAATCCATCAGCAACTCCCCTCAGCTGTACTTCCAAAATCATTCGAGAATACATCTTTTTCTCTGCACTGCTAAGTGTCCAAGCCCCGGGAACCCACTGCCTGATTTACTGCCTCCTTACCTCCCCTTCTCCTGCTCTCCTCAGTCCACACAGAGCAGCCAGTGCTTTATAAAGGTCATTCTGATATGTCTTGCCTCTCCCCCAAATACCCAAATGCCCCTTACCTTATTCAGGAGTCACAGCCTTTAAAATGGCCTGAGAAGCCCTCCATGATCTGCCCTTGCCCCTGCCCCATGCTTCTCTGAGCTCACCTGCTTCAAGCCTCTTTGACATCTGTGCTATTCCATCTGTCAGGAATGCTCTTCCCCCCAGTAGCCACCAGGCTCACTCCCTCACTTTCTTCGGGTCTCAGCTCAAATGTCACTGACCTCATCACAGAAACTTCTCTGCCCCCAGCCCAGCCCCAGCCCATATGATCTTGGAATCCTCCTCTCTCCACTGAGTACAAGGATGTCATTCTGCTTTCTGCTTGCT